TAATATATGATCGAGTAATTGCATATTTATTTATGGAAAGTAATTGTATTACTCCGTATTTTAATGGAAGTAAGTTTGAGATTGAATTTCAATAGGTAGAGAGTTTTCTTTTATGCGGAGTACATCTTTCATATTTAAAAATTCTTGTTTTATATTGAAGCATTGTTATCCCTTTTTTATTTTTTTTTAATTTATTTTTACAGCAACAATTTTATCTTTTACAATTTCCATAGTTGATATTAATTAAAACTTAAATCTAATATTATATAAATAAAGTAGGCATTTTTTTAGAACATTTGGTGCGCCAAATAAGCAAAGGAATTATTTCGACCAATCAAAAGTTAGATTTGTATTTTATTCTAGAATTAAAAATTCACTTGCCACATAAGCAAAAGTGACGAATGAAATTTAAAATTTTTGCTATACGTCAAAACGACGAATAATGATTTATTAATATTTAAATTATTTTAAAACTAAAAATTATCTTTTTTAAAATTATTTGAAGAGAATTCGGAGCGCCATGTAAAAATAATTATTTCGACCAATAAGAAAAAAGATTTGTATTTTATCTTTGAATTAAAAAATTATGTCGCCACCTAGATAAAAGTAACGAATTAGATTTGATATATCTAAAATTTTAATTCCACGTAGATTATAATCCACATATTAGATTATTTTAATGAAAAAAAATAAAGTAAAAATATAAGAAAAGATAAATTTATTAATTCAATACTACGAGTATAAAAAATTCAAAAAAAATATACTAAAGTTTTTAAATGATAAATGCTTAATATAGTTTGATACCTATCATTATAAGATAAATTTTGATAGAATTTATGATAAGAAATACAAAATGTTCGTTAATTATAATTAAATTAAAATTTGTGATACCTACCATTATAAATTGACAAATCATGCGACACACACAAAATTTCGTATCAATAAATAACCCATCAAGCGAATATTGTGTTAGTAATTTTGTGTTGATTTTTGATCATCAATTGTCGGGTAATTTTTAGCTTAATTTTTAAAATTCTATGTTTAAATTAGTATTTCTAATTATTATTTACATTGTATTAATTTGGGATACTCAACGATTATATGTTTATGTTTTATTTACTAAATGGTTTTTTACATGCAGATTTAACATATCATACGACACATATAAAATTTCGTATCAATACAAAACCCCATCAAGCGAATTTTGTGTTAGTAATTTTGTGTTAACTTTAGGTCATTAATGTTCTGGTAATTTTTAGAATCTTATGTTAAATTTATATTTGTAATTATTAGTTACATTGTATTTATTTAGGATATTTAACGATTATTTGTTTATATAATGACATACGATTAGATGTTGTATATTTAATATATGGATGACTTTGGTTATTTTTGGAGATGATGAAAAAATTTCAATGCATAGGTTTGATTTTATATCAAAACAATTTTTTATTTTAGGTAAATATATTGATTTATTTTATATAAATGTAAAGATTTAATTTATATCAATTTCAGTTTGGCTAACATTTCACGGTTCAATTTATCCATTAATGTAGTAGGTTGGTTGTGGACGAGGTTGGTGATTCTATCGAAATACACTACAAGAAAAAGGGTAGATTCCGACGGACATCTTCGGAAATCCTATATATTCCGGCGGATTTATATTCTGACGGAATAAAAATCCGTCGGAATACCCAATACACTACAAGAAAAAGGGTAGATTCCGACGGACATCTTCGGAAATCCTATATATTCCGGCGGATTTATATTCTGACGGAATAAAAATCCGTCGGAATACCCAATACACTACAAGAAAAAGGGTAGATTCCGACGGACATCTTCGGAAATCCTATATATTCCGGCGGATTTATATTCTGACGGAATAAAAATCCGTCGGAATGTATGGGCATTCCGACGGATTATTCTGTCGGAAAATTTATATTCTGACGGAAATAAAATCCGCCGGAAATTTCTGACGGAATATTCCGTCGGAACACTAAGTTTCCGACGGAATATTCCGTCGAAAAACTAATTAAATAATAAAAAAAAACCCTCTTTAAAACCTAAAAAAACCCATACACTCTTTCTCTCTCCTCTCTTCTTTCCTCTTCCCCTCTTTCTCCTTCCTTTCCTCCCTTCTCCTTCCTCGTTCGGCGCATGCAACCTTCCTCTTCCCTTCTTTCTCATTCCTCTCCTCTTCCCTGTTTCTCTTTCTTCTTCCCTTTTTTTTTCGTTTTCTTTGACAATTGAAGATAATTTCAAGATATTCAATGGCAACTCATGAAAATCAAGGTTTTTATGTCAAATTTGACCATGAAAACTCTAGATCTAGAGTTTTCATGGTCGAATTTGACCTTATAAACCCAATTTCAACGTTTTTTTTTTGTTCAAATTAAGGTATGTTTCTCTTTTTTTTTCTTCTAAATTTTGATTTAATTAATTTGTTGAATTTTCTGGTTTGTTTTGCAATATATGGTGTTGGTGAAGTATGGGTTTTTTTTTATGTTTATTTTTTGTGTTTTTGGTGGTTGTTTCGGTGGTGGTGAGGTGGGTTTCGGTTTTCTTTTGGGTGGTTCGGTTAGGTGGGTTTCGGTGTGGGGAGGTGGGTTAAGGTGGTAGTTGGGGAGGTGGGTGGGAGGGTTTAGTGAGGTGGTGGAGGGGATGGGCGATGGGGGTAGTGGGTTAAGGTGGTAGGTGGGGTTGTGGGTTTCGGTTAGGTGGGGAGGTGGGCTGGGCAATGGGGGCAGTGGGTTAAGGTGGTAGGTGGGGTTGTGGGTTTCGGTGAGGTGGGTTGGGTGATGGGGGCAGTGGGTTAAGGTGGTAGGTGGGGTTGTGGGTTTCGGTGAGGTGGGGAGGGCGATGGGTCAGGTGGGTGTGGGCTAGTAGTAGGGGGCTGGTGTGGGGTGGGCTGGTGGTGTGTCAGGTGAGGTGGATTAAGGTGGTAGGGGGCTGGTGTGGGGTGGGCTGGTGGTAGGGGGCTGGTGGCGTGGGCTGGTGGTGGGTTAGGTGAGGTGGGTTAAGGTGGTAAGGGGGCAGGTGGTGTGGGCTGGTGATAGGGGGCTGGTGTGGGGTGGCTGGTGGTAGGGGGCTGGTGTGGGGTGGGCTGGTGGTAGGGGCTTGGTGTGGGGTGGGCTAGTGGTAGGGGGCTGGTGGCGGTTTTTTTTTTTTATTTTTTTTATTCAATTTTCCGACGGAAATTACCGTTTCCGATGGAAATTTCCGTCGAAATATTCCCTTTCCGACGGACTTTTCCGTCAGAATCCACTTAAGCTCCGAAAAATTCCATCGGAACTTTGCGACAGAATTTCGGTTAAAGTCAAAACCAGCTTCGACAGACTGTATTTCGTCGGAAATTCCATCGGAAAGTGTCTTCCGACGGAATTTCCCTCGGAAAACGTCAAATTTCCTACAAAGGCTGTTCTGAGAGACAGTTTCCGACGGAATTCCATCGGAAGGCCGTTTTCCGACGGAATTCCATCGGAAGGCCGTTTTCCGACGGAATTCCGTCGGAAGGTCGTTTTCCGACGGATTTTCGCCTGTTTTCGACGGAAAAAGTCCGTCTGAATTCGGCTGTTTTCTTGTAGTGATAAAATATATGGTAAAACAATAAATAATGATTTAGGATTTAAATTATAAAAAATTTATCATTTCACATTAAAGATTTTATATAACGGAAAAAATATCATATTTAAAATTTATTTATATTTAACATATTCATTATAAATTATAGTAAAAAAAAAATATTAAACTTTTGTAATTTTTTCTGAAATTATTAAATACAATAAATCAAATAATTAAAAATCTTAGATGAAAAAACCGTGCATCGCACGGGCTTCCATCATGTATATATATAAATAAAGTAGGCATTTTTAAAGAGCATTTGGCGCGCCACATAAGCAAAGGTATGTTTTCGCAATAATTTTTCATTTATTGGTAAATATATTGATTTATTTTATATAAATGTAAAGATTTTATTTGTATTTAATAGATTAATTATAAATTATAGTAAAGAAAAAAATTAAACTTTTGTAATTTTGTCTGAAATTATAAAATACAATATATCAAATACTTAGGTGAAATACCGTGCATCGCACGGGCTTCCATCTAGTCTGTCATTTATTTTAGGAAAAATACACTTTAATAATCCTAACTATTGACGATTTATGGTCACAATGACCGATAACCTGTTAAAAGAGTTTTTTTTGTTTGTTTGGGTTTTAATAGCCACATGTCAATACGTTATTAGTCCAAAATAAACAATAAAAAAAACCAAAATTCCCAGCCACCTTCCCCCACCCCTAATCTCCCCGGAAACCTTCCCCCATTCTACTCGTATTACAAAGTAGTTTTTCTTCTTATTATTGTTTTACAATAGGTTTAAACTTTAAAGTTTAATTAATCGATCGGTCATATTCACGTAAATTATTACTTTATTTTTGCGCACTACAACAGTTGTACACTAAAATATAGACAATTAGAATTTGGGGATAAAAATAGGTAAAGGACCCAAATGGGACCCGCTAGACCCTACCTGACCTGCTAGACCTAAAGGATTTGGGTAAGGATCTAAAATTTTAGACCCTAAGGGTCAGGATAGGATATGAGTAAGGATGAAATTCGGGTCCGGGTAAGGTATACATAGCCATCCCTATCAAGATAGGATGGTGCAAAGTGAGTGCATTCATCTGATATGTAGAAGAAGAGAGATGGAATTCCATTCATTGCATGTTAGCCTCGATTGTATTATGATTTTTAAGAATAACCTTTGAAAAGTCTCTTCTAGGATATCTTTAGGAAGACACGATACAGGTCGAATTAGCACGGCTTCGACCTTCATCAGCCTTAGCCTCATCCTTATCCTCCTCCTCGTCCTCCGCCTCTATGGTGTGAAATTGATTTAAGTAAAATTTTGTGCTTAATTAGATGGCCACAAGCCACAATGCAGAAGAGTACAGCACCCTAAACTCCAGTTAGAGACAGGGCTATAAATGCTAACACTGAAAGTGTCCCGGTGCAATTTTGTTAAATTGAACCCTAAAATATTTTTTTTTAAGGAATAATATGTTACTAAATTCAAAAAACCGGAATCCTTTTATAGTAGTTTCACTTAGGGACTCTATGCAATCGACCACCCTGCACATGCTCAGAACCACCCCTGACTTCAGTCATGGCTCAAAGCTTAATTAGCTACTGAAGAGTAAAATCTCCAAACAAAAGATGTAAAAATCAATTAAAAGAAAAAACCAAACACATGAAAATATAAAAGTTTAAAAGGATAATTTACTGAATCATAATACTGTGACATTTTTGTTCACAAATTCCAATTCAAAGCAAGCGAAAAAAAAACCTCAAAGTCTCAAACCAAAAATTCCATGTCTTGTAAATGGTACTAGTAACTTAAAAAAACATTAACCTTACAGCACATCCGACACGAAGTAGCTGTGCCTATATTAATGAAGGGTACACTGATCACACTGCCAAGAGCCGTACAACAAATGATCACAACCTTGAGGACCTTGTGAAGAAGAAGCCGAATCCTTTCTCTTCTTCGAGGTGTTGCGCCCTATCTTCCGATCCAGATCCACTTCCGGTAAACCATTCTCCAACGCCTTAAGCAACTCTTCAAAGTGTGTACCAGTTACCTTTGTCAGATCAACCAGCTTAGCACGGTACTTGCTGAAATCCATATCATCAGGGTTGTACATTGTTCTATCATCGTCGTCTCCATCAACATCTTTAAGGAAACGCGACAGTTCTATCTCAGCGCAAGAATGAAGCCTCTCAAGCTGAGTCTCAGCTTGACCTTGCAAAAACTCGAACAATTCTTTTTTTATCTTAAAGTCTTTGTCCTCCTTTTTGTCCTCCTCTAAGTAGTACCCATACGCGTAAGTCCACTTCAGTACTCTCCTACACTCTATGATTTCCTTCCACCCTTGTACGACGAATTCTAGTTGTGTTGTAGGAGTATTCACCCTGCCACTCAGCTTGCTCAGATCATGCTCCTCAACTCTTTGCAAGTCATCCATGGCTTTTTGTCGCGATTTATGGTTGCTTGCCCACCTTTCGTAATAATGTGAGTATCTTCTAATATATAGTTGCGCATGTTTCCTCATTTTTTCATCGATATCTCTATCCTCTACTCTGAATCTGTTGCACCCCATATGATCGTACCAACTCCCTAGGCACAACCAACAGAACTCAAACCTACACAAATTAATCATAATAAACACTTTAATTATATAATCTAAGGTAATGTTCAATGTTCTGATAAAAAGTTCATATGATGCAAATCAACTAAACCAATTATTAGGCATAATATCACTCCTTCACTTCCATGAATTGGTGTAGTGTCAAACCTAACTCTTTTCTAATTTTAATTTCAAAACATCATAAAGTCTAATTACTCCCACCAAATTAAACACATATTTTTAATTTACTTTGTTTTTCCAAGGATTTACTCATATTAGTAACACCATCCATCTCTAGGTTCTTCTATATTCAGATTATTTGTATTGTCAAGGCATTTAATTTCTACAATTTGATTCACATACTTTGCTTTTCCTAAATAAGGAACAAAAATAAAAGACAGTAATGTAGATGAGATTCAACCTCATATCTTAGTATAGGTAAGATTCTCAATTCAAGACATTATCATACAAGCTAGCTAACATTTACTAAGGTCATTCTTAATATAAGTACTGTGTATATAAAAACAAAAATAAAAAAAAGTTACCTGCAAGGGGCAGAACAAGTCATATGATTGCATCCAACAGTCTTCTCAATAGGGCGCTTGCACATGGGACAAGGCTTAGCATATGCAAGTATCCATTTTGTGTTCTCAGCCTCCGATGAATTCTTCAAGGTCCACTTCGCAACAAGCTCACAATCCACCGGTCTATGAGTCTCCTCCCCGCAATTCCAACAAAAGGCACGCGAACACACACATGTAACATCATACCTATGGCTATCGCCGTCTGTAAGCACAAATTCCACAGCTTTGTCACAACCCGGCGCAGGACACCACTTAGTAGTATTCTTCCTACCTTCCACAAAAGACCTTACAAAATATTCATCAAACTTCTCCTTCTCCTCTTTCGAAACCAACTCAACAATCAAATCGCGAGTCACAGCAGCTTGACACTTAATTGCCGGGCATTTGAGGGACAAAACACCAGCACCCGTGTCGTTAATAGCCACACTTATGTAACTCTTCCAACATACAACACAAAACTTGTGTCCACACGACACGGATCGACAGTTTGCAGGTTCCAACTCGTCGTAACAAATTTTGCAAGTATCATCTTCTTCGTTTTCATTATCAATGTTTTTATCGTTAATAGGGTTGATCAATAGCCCGACTTTGTCACGAACCGCGTGCTCATCCGCAAACCAATCGTCTTGCAACTTATCAACCTTCCAATTGTAATGGTAAAGCAAGAGGCTTGCTTGATCATTGGATAGTGATAAGAGTAAGGAGATGTGAGAGATTTGCTCCTCTTGACGACGTCGAATCTCGGCTTCGTCTAAGATGGTGTAGTTTGCATTGGCCTTGTCGTCGGAGTAATCGTCATCGGTTTCGTAGAAGTCTTCATTGGATACATAGCCACTCAAGTAGTCCATGGTAGATTCTTTACTGTGAAAAAATATACAATAAATTAAAAAAAAAAAAAACCCTAATGAAGGATTGTTTTTTTGACTAAAGAAGTCCACTTTAGGTGGAAATTCAGTTGCAAAATTTGATCTTTTATTTTATACAGGATTGTGTAACAACTTTTGGGATTATTATCAACCAAAAATAAATTAAAAATTAGTTTAATTTAAAGTGGGACAATTTCAGTTTTTATCCAAATTGAGACCTTTATTGATTTAACAAAAAAAAAAAAAAAAAAAAAAAAAAAGGGGACAATTTTCTAATATATTTTCAAGAATTATTAAATTGTTTAGAGACGTGGTCATCTATTAAAGTATTAAAAAAAATCAATTTTTACCAAAACTGAAATAGTTTAATTAAAAGTATTCAAGATGATCTTAAGAAATAACTAAAACAAATTTAAAAAGGAAAACGAAAGATTACCAGATACCTCGTAATTTCCACAAACTTCTGATTTGCTTTCCCACAAAGATTCGATAGAGAAATTAAATTGGGGTGGAGATAGATGGAGAGCGAGAGGCCAGAGATCGAGAAAAATTGAAGCTTTATTTGAAACAAGCCGATGAGTGAAGGAGGTACGTAGCCAAAGGAGTTTAAAGCTTAAGAAGGGTGAGTTCCTTATCCTTTGCTTTTGTCAATTAGGGTAGTTTTAGATTTTGCCCTTTATATAAACGTTTAAAATAACAATTCTTCTTTACAGCTCCCTCTTTGATATGAGCAGCTAAGGTGTACGTTTTCCATCGATGTCATATCATATAAGATACCACTTGTTTGGGTCCAATTTAGTCCAATTGGGCTTAGGCATTAAATGATCCAATTAAAAGCCCAAGGTCAAGGTTCATCTCTCCAATTGTGCTAAAGTCAAAGATCAGCCCTCAAGGCAAGCCAATTGGGCTAAGGCCCAACTTCTCCATGTATGAAGATGTATAAAAGCCATCAATATTACATTTTTACATATATTCTCATTAATTCAAGCAAAGCCTCAAGCAACTAATTCTCTTGCATAGTCTTCTCTTTCAACACATTGTACTGATTTTAGCATCGGAGGGGCCTTCCTCGACAACACCCCCGAGGCTAGTTTACGTGTGTTTACTGTGCAGGAAACCTTCGGCCCAACATTACTTGGACCGAATCTAGTCTTCTCCGTTTCATCGGACCTTCGGCAAGGTCTCATTGTTTTCACCCGAAACACCACTAACATACAAACTCGGATCTCGAAGTCAACTATAAGACAACGATACTTGGCATTCCAATTTTCGACAAATATCAAGTGTTGCGCCACGTAAATGACAATAATCCATTAGTAATTAAGTATGATACATATACGTCAAGTAATCTAAATCCTGATATGTTTTTTATGGCAAAAGAGTTATTAAAAGTTTAATTTTAAATAAAAAAAAATCAGTATTTTATATATAAATAAAAAAAAAATTAATACAACTACAATTTATTTATCGATTTGCATTAAAAAAAAATTTAGATTTATTTAGGAAAATTTAGCAATAATAATCCCATTTTAATTTATACGTTCTAAATAATCTCAACTTTGCATTATTTTTAATTAATAAAACTTTAGTGCGTAAACGCTTCTCTTGGTCCGGAGTGATTAGTTACCTATTAAATAGGTAGTTAATGGTCTAAAATAAAATAAAATAAAAAGGAAAAAAAAAAAACAGCCAATTCTGATCCCTACCCCCAACCTCCAACACCCCACCCTCCTCACCACCAGAAACCGCCCCCATCCCCACCCCACCCCACCCCTAGAAAACCACCCTTTTCCCTTTCCTCAATCTAAAATGCCTCTTTTGAAGGGTTATTATAATAGAATAAATTCACTTACATCGAATAGAGTTGTAGAAGCTAAAATATATACATTGAGGGAAGCTAAGAAAGGAAACTAACAAAAGATATGTACAGGAAATAAGGAGAGAATAAAATCAGAAATGCTGATTGATATCAATCCCTTGATTGGTGGCAAGATCAACGGGATTGATATAGTTTATCCCTTAATAGTTTTCAGGCTGTAGAAAGGGAGGGAGTGGGGATTCGTGGCTGCGGAAGGGGAGGGGGTGGGGTTTCGTGGATGGGGAATGGGATCGGAGATGATGGGGTTTCGTGGCCGGGGAGAGGGAGGTGGTGGGGTTTCCGGTTGCAGGCTTGGGGAAGGGGCGGTTTTAGGGTAGTGGGCTGAGAGGCGGTAATTTTGCGGGTGAAGGTGGGGGGAGTGACCGTTTCGGGTGGTTAGGAGGTGCCGGAGGTAGTTGGGGTTGCCGACCTGCGAAGGTTTGGGTGGTCGCAGGGGCTAGGGGAGGGTTTGGGTTTTTTTTTGGATCAATCATGTTAACATGTGTCCGAAAACCTTTATAATAGGTTGATTGGGTGACCGATTGAGACCAATAAAAGCGAATATATCTCAAAATTCAGATTATTTAAAAACAACTCGTAATTGGGATTATTTAAATCAATTATGTAAAAATTGAGATTATTTTTGCCAATTTTTTCATTTATTTATTTATTGCAAACAACCTAGGACATAATTAGGAAAAGAATCAGAATCTTAGTTTAGAAAAATCTCTCAAACATGGAAATAAATCTCATTTCCAAATCAATATGATTCACTTTCTAGATTATGTTTTTAATCACCAAAATATCCTCAAATTAAGCCCAAAAAATCAGCATAATTGTCTGATACGAGTACTCTTTAGTTAATTCTCCAACAAAAAAATTACTAAAAGTATATGAAGAACGATAAAAAAAAATATAAAAAAATAAATAAATTCTATAAACCCTAATTCCCAAATTCTATAAACCCTAATTCCCCGAATTCTCTAATTCAATTTATTAATTTCAACAATGTCGGCAAAACGATCTCGTATTTGTCGATCATCAAGCTCAGGCTACACCTCCGTCTTCTCCGGCGAGGCATGGTGGCCGGAATCTCATCCTCCTCCTCCGCTGCCGGAATCTTTGCCGGAGATTCCTACTGCTCCAATTTCAATTCCGTCGGAATATAATTTCCCGGCGATAGTTCCGAGAAATCCACCGGATTTTAGTCGACCGTCGATATTCACGATAGTTCCAGTAACACGTGAACCGTTCGATCAGAGTAAAGTGCCGTTTGGTGAATTTCTTAAGAAGTGTTTCTATTGCAAGAATTTGATTGAAAGTACTCAAAATATTTATATGTACAGGTTTGGAATTTTTCTTTTTTCTTTTTTTATTTCTTACGGAGTAATATAATTCATTATTTGTCAAAAAAAAATTTATAATTATTTTGTGATCTTTTTTTTTTTTTTTTTTTTTTTTTTTTTTTGTGTGTTTAGGGTTGATAGATTTCTTGATTTGCTTTTTTTTTTTTTTTTTTAATCTCTGTTTTTCTGGTTTATTGGTTTAGGGTCCGTCTGGTAGGGTGTAAAACATTTTCAATGTAAAATGGTTTTCCATGAAAATCATTTTACAATGGAAAACTCATTTTCAAATGAGTTTTTCGTTGTTTGGTTGAATGGAAAATGATTTTCCATTTTAAGCATTTTCCCTTGTTTGGTTGAACTGAAAATTCAATTGTGAGGGAAAATGTTTTCCTTCCACTTGTGATGAAAAATGTTTTCCCTCCACTTGTGATGGAAAATGTTTTCCTTCTAAATTGGGGGGAAAATGTTTTCAATAAGGTGGAAAATGTTATTCCACCCCAAGTTTTACATTTTAATGTTTTACACCAAACCAAACAATGTAAAATGGGAAAATACTTTTCAGGGAAAATGTTTTACGCCCTACCAAACGAAGCCTTAGTTTCAGCTTAATTATGCGTGCTTATGTTCTGTAAATTGAAGTGAATTGTAACCATAAAATTAAAAAAAATTAAGTGAAGGAAAAATTGCTGAACTTTAAGTAGATTTTAATAGCTCTGAAATATATTAGAGTCGTAAAATTGAAGGTGGGATAATTAGAATTCATAGTTCCCGTAAAAAAAAAAAAAAAAAAAAAAAAAAAAAAAAATGGATTTCATTCTATTGGTTTCATTCTCTTTGAGTTGCCATAAGTTTAAAATGGATTTCCATGACTTTTTTTCTTTTTAGATTTTGATTAAAACAAATTTATTGTCACATACAGCAACTTTGAAGCCTTTTGCAGCATTGAATGTCGTGCGAAACAGATTAAAAAGGATAGACTTCCCGTATCACCGATGGAGATGAGGAACAAAGACTGCAAAACGTCACTGAAGTCTGGGAAGCCTGGTGCTTCCTAGCTTAGCTTGTTGGGGTAACTTAGAATTACTACATCTGGAAGTGGCAAGCTTTTCAAGTTTTGGGGATCAGCAAGCGCTTTCCAGTTTAGAGATTCAAAATTTCTTAAATTTTCTTAATTAGACAATTAAATCTCAGGAACTAGTTAGGTTCTGTACATCTCAGTAGTTCTTATCTGATTTTTATTATTCCAGACTTCTTTAAAGTTAGTTTTCTGATTTAGCATAGAAGCTAGAAGGTTGTTAATAATTTGATGAGCAACTTCTGGTTTTTTAAGTAACCTCTCCAAATAAATGTATATAAGCTTAATGATCATGTTTTGAGTAATTAACTTTTTTAAGTTGGTTTTTTTCTTTAGTATGAACTTTGTTTGTTCTGCTCAGTACTTGGATAATAATTTCTGATCATAACAATACTCTAATACCAGTATACAAGATATAATAAGGTGATCGAAGTGATGGTAAGTTATAATCTCTAGTATATTGTCTTAGTTGTACAATATATCTAATTACTCTAATCTCAATTGTGTTTGTGCTGCTGACTGGTCTCCTGTAATCCAATCTCATTAAGTTTTGATGTTTTTTTGCTCAAACTAAGGCAGAACATGTGTTGTAAGTAGCGCTCTTTAGTCTATCTTAGGCGGCCAACAGTTTTTCTATTTGCCTATTAGTGTGAGGAATTTAGTGCTTCTAGCAGAAGCAGCCCATAGCAAAAGCAGGACATGTGATACATCTAACTATCTAAGTGGACTGTCATGCCCTTACGTTTAAGGTTTTTCGAGTTGCGCTTTTTTCGTGTTGGCTTATTGCATGCTTAGAATGGGATGCTGTACTGAAGATCTGATTCTAAGAGGCTTGTTGTTTCAGATGGTAGTAGTTTCTATATTGCGTCTTTAGCTGTTATTCCTGACCTCAAGTACCATACTTGACAGAGTCTGTAGTTGCTCTGTTGGCCTCTCTTTTGCTGCTTAGCCTGTTTCTATGGTAAGGCATTTGCTTGCATGATGTAGTCTTAAGTACTTTTTATCTTTGATAAAATTATGTTTTAACACGTCTTCAATTACCTTAACATTTGATTTAGTACTGTACTTGTTACTTGACAAATACTAGCTGTGATTGTGAGATTGATGTGAGTTCACAAAAATTTACTGTTCAATGATATCCTAATTTGGGCTTTCAGGTGGATCAAAATGTCCATTCTTGGATTTAGAAGAGATAAGGCCCAATGGGCTGTAACTCTCTGTCATGCAAGAGACTTCATCTCAACTCTCAAGTACGGAGTAATTTCTTTTCCGGCCTGCTCATTTAAATTGTGTCATATTTAGATCTTTGAGTACAAAATGTTAATTTGTTAAAACTTGTTCTTTAATAATTTTATAAAATAATTTAAGGTTTGCAATTTATCATTCATGTTTTTTTTTTTTTTTTTTTATACGAGAATTTTTGTAGAGTTAATTTTTTT